CAGAGCCATGATGCGAGGGTAGAGGAGCCAAAATGCTATTACAAGATATAATGCTTCTCTCTACGTTTATTACCATCCCAATATTTCCTTATAATTATTTTATATTAAACACTTTAAGTCAAATATCTCCAATACTATTCCATAATATATTATTACGTACGGAGTACTATATATGATGGAATAAATACTCCTCCAAAATACAGTGTTGTTATAGATTTAATATTTTCCAAAATAACTACTCCTAGAAAATAAGATATGATATTTTAATGTGCAATTGAAAAATTATAAGTCTAATACGTACAAAGTATAAACATATTTTGCACTATCATACTATTAGAGGAAACACAAGATTAAGGGGGCCTAAAATATTTACAAGATAATAAGTAAATTTTTTTGGGAGGGGCCAAGGCTCCCGTAAGCATATGCATAGCTCCATCCCTGTACCGGTATGCTCTTCGGTCCAAGGGCTTTACCGTTGCGGTTCCGATCCGATCCGGTCCAAAACCCAAACATTACTGCCCAAACCGGAATTAAATTATTATATATATAAATATATATTTATATACGTATAAAAATTGTATGCACACAAACACACACGAACTACATAATACATTAATATTAAGTGATAAAATAATTTAGACATTAACTCAAGTTACATATTATTTACATATATATTTATACTAGTAAAATTTTGTAGCATAAAAACATTAGGAGTTAGGATGTTTTTACTTGGACTATTTTCAGTCCAAGACCAGACCAGACCAACCTGACCAAAATTAAATAAACCAGATCAGATTAGACTTTCATAGTTATAAAATACACATAGACCAAACTTTTACTAGACCAGACCAGATCTAGACCAACAAATTTCAGTTCAAGTAAAAACATCCTTAGAAAGGTGCATTGTATTTACTTATTTTTACTTGTTTTAACTATAATACATACCGTGATTAATTGAATTCTCTTTTATTTTTCTTATTCGGAAGGGATTTCTGTTGGCTTCGTTGGGAGGACATTAATTGATTATTTTTATTTGTGTAAATACACAAAGCTATTGAGTTAAATCATTCACTAAATTAATCGAGTAAAGGACATTAATTTCTTGTACTAATATTTTTTGTAATTACATATTCATGTGTTTAATGATTGAAAGAGACATAAAAAATGCAAATCATATGTATAAAAGAGTAAATTAGAAAGGATCATAAAATAATAATAATAAAAATAATAATAATAATAATTATTATTATTATAATTATAGAAACAACAAGCTAATATGTACATTTTTGGACAATCAATTTTTTATTTATGAAACACTGTAAAAATAAGATTAAAAAAATCCGGTCCACCAGCCCGGACCGGAAAAACCAGAATAATCCGATCCGGTCTTGGACCGAAATTATATAGGTCTGGTCTTCGGTCCACTTTTTTTAAGAATTTTGGTTTCGGTCTGGTCCTGTCTGGTCTTGGATTGATGCTCAACCTACTCACACCGGAGTTTTCTAAATTATTATCAATATTTCACTGTTGTATTTTTATCAATTTGTCAAGCAGCCTTCTTCTCAATTGGTACCGGGCCGGGCATGACACTGGTCTATTTTATGTGGTAAATTATATTGTGGGATCAACCCTTCATGCTCATGGTACGGTGTACCGATCCCAAAACGGCACCATTTCATTTAAAATGACATATGTTTTTTGTGGAGCCGCCCTACGGAACGTAACTCCTTTAGCACGACCGCCCATAATTATTGCTTTGCACTTTACCTGGAAATTTCCATACGGTATCACAGATTATTGCTCCACTTTGAATTGATCTTCACCATTTTTAAAATGAGTCATCTAGCATTCTCCCTTATAAGCAAACACGTGTACTCCATTTTTTAAATTGACTGTTGGTGTTGTTGCTGTTGTACAATAAATTGAAGAAGCCCAATACACTATTTTATTAAGGTAGATTCTATGGTACCCATAAGGTACCATACCTTTATCTGGATCAATGAGAATGTAGCAGTTGAATTATTTAAATCTAAATTAAAAATGATAAAGTGATGTGGTCCAATCAAATGAATGATAGGTACGGTACCCCATTTTTTTGAAAGGTACCGGAGTTGTCACCTTTTATTAATATAGATACTCGTATTATTTTTTATATTGATACACTTTTTTGTAATATTTTTTATATGGACACACTTTTTCTATAATATATTTTTTTATCACTTTTATATGTTTTTTGAGGTTTTTAAGGCATTGAGTTTGTTTATTTTGATTCTTGAAGTTACATTTGATAATATATCATTAAGTTACATCCTCTTCTGCGCGAGTTACATCTTAATATACGTGAGTTACATCTTAACGTATACGAGTCACACCACGGAATAAACCTTTGCTATATCATTTTTATAGCCCTAATATTAAAAATAAAACATATTCACTATTTAAAAAAGTAATTAAGCAATTAGGACCAATTTTTCATTGTTTACATTGAAATCAATGTTTATGATATATATATATACATATATATATATATATATATATAATTCTCAAACACACACAAAAAAATTGTTCAATTTTCCAAGAAGTTACATTATGTATACACCTAAGTTATATTTGTCACCAACGCGAGTTACATTTGTAATAACATGAGTTACATTAAAAAATGGAATTTTATCAATTGAGGACCCGAAAGATAAATTAATTATCAATTCAGGATCCGAAAGATGAAACGTATTAGTATAGGACCCGAATGATGGAAGACTATCAATTTAGGACCTAACGTTTCATAGGTTTTGATTTATTTAATTTTTTATTAATTCCATTACTAATTTTTGATAAACTTTTCTTCACAAAAGTTTATTAGTTTAATAAAACGAAATAATATTTAAATTTTTTTAATAAAAACATTTATGACAACTTAGGTCCTAGATTAATAGTTTTCAATCATTCAGGTCCTAAATTGATAGTTTTTCATCATTCGGGTCCTATATCGATGCATTTTATCTTTCAGGTCCCGAATTGATAATTAATCTATCTTTCGGGTCCTGAATTGATAAAATTCCTTAAAAAATCAACCAATGCTATTGAAACAAAAAAATGATTTCTTTTAAAAAAAATATTTTTTTATGGTCATGATAGTAAAAACAAAACATATTCGCGGTTTACCTAAAGCAATTGTGCAATTAGACTCTCTTTTTTCATTGTTAGCATTGAAATCAATATTGTATTTCTAATACTATGTATATGACAAGATACATTTCGAATGCACTTGAGTTACATTGATCAATAACGTAAGTTACATAACTTTACACACGAGTTACATCATTCATGCAACTGGGATAATAAGGAAGAAAAACAGTTACCGTACACGCACGTACTGTTCACGCGTGTACTGTTCATGCGAATTTTTTTTATAAAAATTGTGCAAACCTACGTCGTTTTGGAAGTGGAGCACGGTGCTCACTGTGGGATGATCCACAGTACTAATCCATCAAGACAATTCTAAATAATATTATTTTGCTTTTCGAAAGATATACATAATTTGAATTAGAGGTGAATCGTCTATGCACTGTTTCTTATTTTAAATTAGAATTCTTTGTACTTTACATACTACGTACTATATAATTATACTTTTTATTTCGGGCAGGATCATGTTCAACGCTACACGTCTTGCCATAAAATTTGTTGGTACTTATTTGATATCTAACATACCATGTCCAACATGAAGTACCACTCATGTACACCAATTCATCCTTTAAAATAATTTCATTTAATGAACTGACACATATTTTTGTCAAGCCTATGTGTTAACGGTTTCATAGCAAAACAACATGCATTAATTTTGGCTCGAATATGGCAAAGATATGATAATCTGTGCACAATTCTTGATAAAACCCTTTTGATCAGAGAATTTATCTTTGAGATCGAGACATTCTAATTGTTTCATTACAATTTCGTAGTCATTTACACATCTCACAACAATTAGAATATACACTTTGACGAAATTATTTCCTTATTTAATATGGGGTAGTTATGTAGTATAATTTTTGTTCGCATAAGTCACTAATTTTATCATCGGTACTAAGTTTCATTGTGAAAGGCGGGATCACCTATCCTCAAGGTCTCATGCTCCTGGATGCTCCTAGTCAACAAAGTTTTTTTGATACCAAATGCCAAACAACTTTTCTTTACCAAATTCGGCCGTCAAATTTCAAAGCTTCTTATGGTCAACATGACAAGTGACAACATGTATCTAGTACACACACTACGTAGGGTTATAAATGAATCAAATCTAGTCGAATAGTGTGTTTTTGTATATATATGTTTTTTATTTTTTGCGAATACGAATCCGAATTTGAATATTAAACGAATAATGTGATTTCGTATTTGTATTTGTATAACAATATGAACAAATAACAAATCATATACTAATATCGAATCAATTTGATCATAAGTTAAATATTAATTAAATATCATTTAAAACAAATTTTCCTATATTTCTTAAGTTAAAAATGCATGCTTGACTTAATATGTGTTCTAAGAATTTAATTTGTAACATTACATTTTTCTTTAAAATTTAATGAATTGAAGCATTTTTAGGTTGTGCACAGTATACTCAAGTGAATCAATTTTATGATTACTATACATAAATATATATCAAATTAAAGTTTTTTAAATAAATACTAACACACACGTATTAAAAATTATACCTATAATGTAAAATAAGTTGATAATTGTATATATCAAAGTCAAAACGACTCTAATTTTATGTTAGATATTTAGTATTGTTGATAATAAAAAAATATCATTAGATATATGGTTTATACTACACACATATAGTGGGTGATTGATGCACACCCACACATATGACTAATTATACCGTGGGATCAGCACACCATGTGCATGGGGTACTGATCCCAATATGGCACTGTTTCTGTAATTAAAAGCAACATGCTCAAATATTTTCTATCCTTTGACCAGCTGATATTCTTCTCCGATCCATCCCTGCCTTTTATTTTCTACAGCACCATTCCCAGGCAAGGCTTCCTCCCCCAGTTTTTATCTTCTTCGCACCATGCCCATGCTCCCACTAACTGTTCCTTCCGTGCTTCCCCTTCCTTTTCTCTTGCCTTGCGTTCTGATCCAATTCTCTTTCTTCTTTTTTTACTTCTTTTCTTTTTCAATTTTCTTCATCTCCATTATTAATTTATTGAAAATATGATTACAATTACTTTTTTATATAATATATTTATGTAAAACAATTTCTTATCTCTCAAGTGTTTTTTAAGACATTAAGTTTGTTTAGTTCTATTTACATATGATAAAATAGATGATTACATTTTCATATGTGTGAGTTACATTTATACATGATTCTTGAAGTTATATTTGATACTACATGGAGTTACATTTTCTAATGCGCTTGATGGATAGCGTACCCGGGGGGTAGCTTACCCGAGGGGTTATTACGGGAATAACTTAGAGAGAAGTCAGAGCAATAAGTAAGAGAGAGAAAGTGTATTTGAATATAGAACTTGTGATGCTTTAGAATGGAGAATGGGCTGCTATTTATAGCAGTAATAAATGCTAGGCAGGGACACGTGTCGAGAATCTGATGGCTGAGGGTCGCCTCAATCGGGGTGGCACCGGCATTTGCACGTGCACCGCATTAAATGCGGTGGGTGGATGTGACGCCGCATTTAATGCAGCGGTTGCCTGTCTCTAAAGGGAATCTTCGATGATTGCTCTGTAGCCGAAGGCTCCCCTGAGACCGAGGGCTCTATGTAGCCGAGGGCTACCCTTATGTCGAGGGCGTGTATGAGCTGAAGGCTCCTGATTTCCGTCGCCTTCTCCCAGTAGGTTTGTATGCCTAAAATCAGCTGTCATGTGAGATTTTCGAGCCCTCAGCTATGGGGCCGAAGGCACCCATATGTGCACTGTGGGCTTCTTGACACTTGGGCCGCTGCGCTTTGGGCCTCTTGTGCTTCTTGGGCCTGTTGGGCCTGTGTTAGAGTAGTACGAGTCTATGGGCCGGGGGTCCCTGGTCCTATATTCCATCAGGAGTCTCTCACTCATTTTGCCGAAAGGTAGTTGAAGGGAAAAGGAGTAATTTGCGTTTGTCCTCTGGTGCTGACGTTTGCTTCGTTGTAGTTTGTAAAGTAGTGAGAGGTTTTTGTGTTGCGTGATTTGCCGAGGGCAGTCCCTCAGTCCCCCACATTTTGGGACTCAAGGATTATGTTGGTGTTGTGGAAAAGTTTTAACTTTTTGTGATTTCTCCGAAGGGGTTGTCCAGTCCCCCACTCCTTGAGGCACATGTAATGGGGTGAAAAGGAGTAGTGTGGTTCTGTCTTCACCGGAGAGCCGAGGGCTGACGCCTTTTGCTTCGCTTTGGGGAGATGCCTCGTTAAAAACCTCATTAGGAAAAACCCTCTGGGAAAAAATCCTAATGAGGGAAAAAGAGTGCACTGTATGCCCCGAAATGAAGCAAGCGGGGTTGACCCTTCGGCCTGTGATGAAGGATAATGCTGAGGCTGGGGGCATTTGTGATTTGCGGTATCTAATCATGAGAGGCCGAGGGTCGTCGTAATCTGAGGGCAGTAATGCTGAGGGCGGCCGTTGTGAACCGAGGGCGTGATCATTGCCCAAGGATGCAGATGATTGTTCCGTTGCTGCCGAGGGGGATCCCTCAATCTCCCGCACCTGCGTACTGAGGGTAAACCTTTGGTGAAGGGGTTTGAATGTGATAGTCCGAGGGGGTTCATGGACCTTCGTGCTGAGGGCTAACCCTCAATGGAGGGGTGTGAATGTATTGGCCTGAGGGCTTGCCTGGGTGTCAGCTGAGGGTATCATGAGGTCTCAAAACTAGCCATTGGGATGTGACCGTTGGGATATAACCGTTTGAATATGACCGTTGTAGGTGGGGTCCACGTGGCGTGCTCCTGTTGGCTAGCTTCGGACGGGCGTCACCAGTTGGCTGAGGCAGCGGTCCGTAATGATGCGTTTTGTAACCGGGTGCCTAGTTCTCGGCCCAGGCCCGAGATGGGGAGGCTATAAATACCCCGGGTTTGGCCTCATATCGTTTGTGCGAATTTGTTGTAGCGAAGCCCTGGAAAAATATTTATAGAGATAGAAAGCTCATGCTCGATCAAAACCTTACTTTCAAGGTCAACTCATCCTCTATTCTTGAGTTTTGTAGCACACTTTGCTATTCCGGTCTTAGATTTGGTGTTAGAGTCCTATAGGAAGCCCTCTGTTTTTGAACTCTTCCGCTTTTAGTTTCTCAAAAAATTCACCGCAAAGGGATTCTCAAGATATCTCGAGGGAGCCGTCGGTGCAGAGTTGCCCAGACGTTGAGTCGAGTGAACAGTCTTTGGCTCAGAATGACTCTGCTGTAGCACAAGAGGTGCAGAAAGATTTGGTGGCCGAAGCCGTGGCCGAAGAGTTCGAGCAAGTAGGGGAAGATGAGGAGCTTGCCCTCACGATGCAAACCGTCGAGGAGGAGGAGGAGAAAGAACGTTGTCGAGTGACAATTGCCATCCCTTCGGCCGTAGCAACTGGTGCTGGAACGTCAAGACCCCTCAGCCCTGATCCCCTTTGGGTTGCACCCTCGGTGAAGGGTAAGAAGAAGATGAAGGTCGCCCAGAAGAAGAAGCAAAGTGCGGCGGACTGTGGGAAGCCCATGGACATACCCGTAGGGCACTCCTTCTTAAACACTGATGCCCTCACGCTGAAATCGAGGGCTGATAGGGCGGAGTGTTACGTCACGCAACTCCATGTAGGGCCTTCGGCTACGGTGGTGGAGCTGGGGCCCGATGATCTACTCTCCCAGGTTCCTGAGGGATTTTTTGCGGTCCATGTTCTGTCTGTTGTGTTGGGCCTCCGGTTTTCGCTGCATCCGTTCCTCTTCGAGTACCTTAGGTATGTTGGTCTAGCCCCCTACCAACTCACCCTAAACATCCACTCTTACATCACCGGTTTCCTACAACTCTGCCGGTCCTGGGGGCAACTCCCAGCCTCGATCTCTTCTTTCAGAGTTTCAACCTCTGCCCGGGAGGTCATACAAATTCTGAGGGGTTCGCAAACCTGCAGCAAATCGCCCCGTGGAGGCTTCTCGATGATGTGCCCTCGTCCCACAAGGGATGGAAGGATCGTTTATGCTACATCAAGATGGCGGATAATCCATTCTCGAGGGAGCTGCGGAACCATTTCAGGCGGCACCCGAAGGTGGAGGGTGCTGCCCTCGAGAAGGAGGGAAAGAAGATCTCTGCTCTTTCAGGGGGGGTCTACGAAGCATGTGACGGTCAAGGACTCCACCCTCCCGGATGACCTGTACAATTTGGGCTTCCGACGTTACCGCTTCATGGGGGAACGGGACGAGAAGTAACCCGTCCTCGACTGAGCCTTCGAGAGCATAGGAGGTAGTTCCCGGGGGCTCTTAGCATTTTGTACTTAGAAATTTTTTGTGTTTCATTTCTGTTTTTGTATTTGGTCCCCTCGGTCTAACAATCCTCGTTGTTTTGCAGGTGCTAGAATGGATGTGAAGAACTTTGTCGGGTTTAAGAAGAAATCGGCCAAGGAGCCGAAGAAGAAGGAGGCGGGCACGCAGAAGCCCGTCGATAAGTTCTTCCCGAGGGAAGTTGAGCCTTCATCAGTTGTCCCTGTTGATGCTGTTGTTGCCACCGCGAAGAGGAAGGCGGCCGACAAAGGCGTTGAGCCCGTCGGCAAGAAGCCAAAAAGGGGGGATGCCGGGAAGAAGGCTCCCCCGGTTCTGATAGTGGATGAGCACTCAACCTCCGAGCCTCCGGTTGTAGTAGCGACGGCTCCTTCCAACCCCCCTCCGACTCAGATGGGTGAGTTGGGTCTACCCCGGGAGGACATACAGTTCTCCCTCATAAAGGGGACTGTCATAGTGCATGGCACTGTGGATCCGAAAGAGTTCTTCCGGGGTGCCACTCCTTCGTTGGATTAGGATGCCCTCAGCACGCTCAGAGATGATGCCCTCGATAATAAGATCCTCTGGTCTTCCCTGACTGTAAGATCCCCGTCTATCGTTTTCATTTCCTTAGTATTTTTAGTGTATCTTACATAAATAGTCTAACTCCTTTGCTTTTTTGCTTACAGGCTTGCATTGCCCTCGGTGAGCAGATCCGGAGGGTGGAGCAGTTGCGCCTCCAAAAGGCGGAGCAGGACGAGACCCTGAAGAAGCTTGTTATGGACAACGCCACTGCCGTGAGGGAGATTGCCAAGCTGGAGGAAGCCCTCCGACAGGCGAAGGCTGAAGCTGAGAAAACCAGGGCAGAGGCCAGGGCTGAAGCTCATAAGGCCGTTGTCGAGGCTGCCAAAAAGGCTGCCGAGGCTGCAAAGGGAGAGACCGTCACCAAGGCCCGGGCGGATACTGTTGCTGCATTTCTTGCCGAGTGGTGGAAAGCTGAGGGCCAAAAGCAATGGCTGGCCTCAGTCATGGAAGCCTCAGTGGATGCTTGGGTAGGAAACATAACCATGTTGGCTAATCACATGTTTAAATACCTTTTAAACATAATTATGAACACATATAACATTTATTTAGGTAATCTCATAATTAACCCAAAAGGTATAAGATATTAAGACGTTCACTCACCTTAAATGAGCTTAAGCGCGTTCTACACTCCTCGGTTGAACTCCGGTGAAACTCTGACGAAACTCTGGCGAACTCCGGCCAAACTCCGACGAACTCTAGAAATACTTTAGTTATGCTCCTTAAACTAGTTTCATCATCACAAAACTCATATCAATACAAATAACCTCCAAAAGGTTATTTTCCGGCGAACCGGTCGTTTTGGCTTCTAAGTCCGTTCTTGGACTTAGAACCACCTTTCAACCCCTCATTCTACATTTCTAGAATGATTCTAAGTGTTCTTCATATGATATATATCTCATATGGTGGAAGAAAAGTAAAGGAAAAGTTAATATAATGTCATTATCTTAATTCTTCTCACTTTTTCCTAACTTTTCCTTCTCAAACCTCATTGTTTGGACCAATTCCTCTTGAGCTCGTGCTGAAACAATGGAGGTGGTTTTGAGTGCTTTCTCCTTCCGTTCATTGATGCTTTGGTCGAGCTTAATGATAGGGGTGAGAGCGAGTACACCCTTTTGTCTAAAATGACAAATAAGTGTGGGATGGGAGCCCACCTTTATCCTTAGATGCCTCTCAAGTCAAACCCAAACAACCCCCTTCTCTTCCTTCCTATCAGCCGTCCACGACATGGCCTTGAGTGCATAATTTCGTGGGTTGGCCCCCACACATGTGGGAGGTCATCCCTTTAAGTCCCGAAGTGTACAATCGGTCCCGAAAGTTATATTTTTCGGACTCTTTTAATTATATTTTATTTTATCGGGTCAAATATAATATATTATGTGTTTCCCTTCATTATGGACTCTTAGAATGAATATAAATTCCTCATATTTAATTTAGAAGTCTCCGAAATCTGTTTCGAGTTGTTGTCTCATAAATTACCAATACCGGTAATTGGGTCTTGTTTGACCAACCGGTCAACCCTGTGCCCTTTCCATGGCTCAACTAAAATATTCACCACCATATACATGTTATCTAGGCCATGATGAATATCATACGTGGTCTCGGAAATATAGGGTGTTCCTCGCTCCCGATGTGGGCCCCACGTGCAATTTACTATTCACGCAAAAGTGATAACAAAATTTACAACCTCGTAAATTCATTAACCATTTCGTAAGGTTCAACACATGATTTACATAAAAGTAAATATAATTGGGGACGGTGTTACAAGCTGAGGGAGATCAGCGTTGGTAAATACGATGGGCTCCCCTCTCAACCGCTTTACAGGGGGCATATGAGTGATTTCCCCACGTAAAGGGATTGCGTCCATTTCTTCCTTTGGCTTGTGGAGTCTCCCCCGTGTTGCTACCAGTGATCATGTGGATGTGGCGCTACTTTTCCTGGCACTGGTTGTACCCTTCTTCTTCATCAAGGTTCCACATCTCCCTCTTCTTGCCATTCGGATCACCGAGGGGGATGGTGTTTGGATTGATCCAGGCATTTGCCTTCGCCGGTGGCCCTCGAGGGGGCCCTTGATGATGAGGGCCCCTGACAAATTGGGACAGATGGCCCGCCTATATCAACCTTTCGATGGCTGCCTTCAGCTGATGGCAGTCATCGGTTCTATGCCCCTGGTGGCGATGAAAACGACAATAAGGTTCATTGGGGTTGATGGCGTATACCTCTGACGTGCACTTGTCGTTAGGTGCACTCAAAATAAATACAATACAACGAATATACGTAGTATAACGAAGTAAGGTTCGTATCCACAGGGAAAGGAATACTTTTCTTTTATATAAATAGTAACAAGGGGGGTTAGATTTGTTTGGTTTAAAAACACTAAGACAAACAACCTATATGAGTTTAATTAAATGAGATGAGGACTTGGTTTTGCTTTTATCCACTTAATGAAATGTTCGTCGATCCCGGTTATATCTTTAACTATCTTCTTCTCGAATACTCAATCGAGGAGTATATCCAGGTCATCGAGGGTAGTTATTAATAACGAGATGCGTTCATTAATAAAACTTACTATCGAGTCAATATAGAACAAGCGCCGTATATTAACTTGATAGTAGCAATAAACTTAAGATGAAAACGATTGAGATTGATAACCTCAACACAAGCGGTTTATTGGTTTAATCAATATAATTAATTCCCCTTGGCATATTAACCATGAGATGCATGCATTAATATTCCAAGTTTACTACCGTTGAAAGAACCGGATTAATAACAAGCGTATTAACCGATTGATTCTAGTAATAATTAATATGAGAAACAATACTAGGTGATACTTTAAGTAATGTTTAAGATATTAACATGAAATATGAATAGGAATTAATTAATACTCAAGGAAGAATATTAAAGAGAATGAATCCTACTATGATTAATATCAAGATGTTAACTAATTGTCATCTTAGTAACACTCCCCAATATTAACATAGAGGAAGAAATAGCTATCACTATAATCAATGTCAAGATGTTAACTAATTGTCATCTTAGTAACACTCCCCAACTTTGATATAGAGATAGTATTTTAAAAGAAAGAATTAATATTCAAGGAAGAAGATTAAAGAAAATAACTCACAACTTACAAATTCATTAAGCTTCAAAGTAGCAAAACCAAGATGGAAGAGTTTAGCTCCTCATTTGGAGACTGAACATGATGAAAAATATAAAGAAAGAGCTATTCTATACTGAGCTTAGATGTACAAAGGAATTGGATATCTTTTTGTGAAGGAAAGGAGGTGTATTTATAGGCTTTTGGGATGGGATTCGGGTACTCGATCGGGTATATACATGGTACCCGATCGAGTATGTGTGTAATACTCGATCCGAGGAATACTCGACCGGTTTCAGGCTGTTTTCCATAAGTATACCCGATCGGGTATATACTAATACCCGGTCGAGTATGCTTAGAAAATGGTATTCGGACCATACTCGACCGATCTTCGTTTAAAACTCAAAGGCATACCCGATCGGGTATGTCGGTCTACCTGATCGGGTATAGACATTAAATCGTGGCCAAAATCTTCCCGGCATGTTCCCTTGTCTTCGGATCTGATCCGATTTGAAGTTCCAACCTAATACCCGATCGAGTATAGTTAATACTCGACCGAGTGTAGACCAAAATTCAGGATCTTCTTTTGTCTTCAAATTTTTGCACCTTCTTTCCACTCTTTGGGTTCACCAACTGTACTTCGAGTGATCAAGACCTGTTTGAGCTCAATATATCTAATCTAACCTATTTACAAGAATTTAACAAACTAATCTATTACACCAAAAGTGTGTAATTTCCATAGTAAAGATCAAGCAAAACTAATTAAAAACACAAACATAAATATGGAAATTACAAACGTATCAACTCCCCCACACTTAAACCTTTACTCGTCTCGAGTAAAATCAAATGTTCACAAGTGTCAAGTTTCTCCAAAATTTCCACAGTTCAACAAAAACAACATACAAACACAAAGACCACCAAGGATGACAAAGAAAAAATGAGTTTTAAACTCAAATTACAAAGAGCATTTTGGGTTTAATGGCCTTCTAGTGTCATCTTCTCTTCTGCTCCTCTCTTCTTCTTTATCTTCGATTTCTGAATCTTCTTATTCTTCACAGGGATACAATGAGTGCCTGCAAAAACAAACATTTCTCTCATATATCTCATTTTGCCTAGGAGCCTTTTCAGGTTTTCATCCTAGCATCTCTTTTCATTTTCCATTCTCCCCAACTCACTCATTTTTTTATAAGCCCTTTTTGCTTAGATTGCCCATTTTGTTGGGTTTTCAACCTAACTAGCATTTATTTTCTTTTATTATTTTTTTTGTGTGTAAAAGTTCAAAAGAATTACATGCATAGTGCTAGGTGGAAATAAAAATTACATACCATCATGAGTGTCTCCCTCGCACTTGAATCAAGCACTGTCCCTAGTGCCCGCCTTCTCCTCCGTAGTAGCTCCCTCCGAAGCCGCTCCCTTGGCCACCATCTCCCATATATGTGTCCCCGCCATCTCCGCCGTCGTACCCTCCACCCCCGGAGCCAGATCCTCCAAAGTTACCCCAATGAGTGGGGTCATACCACGAGGGTGGTGGAGGGGGGTTCGCCATGGTATGGAAGGATCCCTGCTGTGCCATATAAGAGTACATAGGTCCGTAGAACCTACGTTGGTCTTCCTCATACCGATGTCTATCGGCCTCCCTGAGCTCCTCCAATCGCTGAAAACCGGCTCTTTGCTCCTCCTCTAATCGGTTGAGCCGGTTGTCCATTTGGGCGTATCCCGTAAGCAGTTGTTGTTGACCCTCCAGAAGTTGTTGAAAGAAGTCGGGTGGTGGAGGGTTTTGGCTTTGTTCGGGGATGTCCTGGCCCATGTTTTGATGGCTATG